ATATATATTTTATTCTTTTTATTAATATAGGATATTTAACTGTCTTTGAGGTCTTATTTTTTACTATACTTTGCTTATAAGATATTGACTCACGCGCCCATCTCTAATACCAGTCTATGTATATGTATGCTCTCTTTGTGTCTCTCTCTCTCTCTCTCTCACTCTCTTTACACACTTGCTCTCTGTCTTCTTATCAGCATTGACACCTCCGGAAAAAGGTGCGCACTGGGTTGCCGCGATCGTGGCACAGCCCTTGATAATCGGCAGGTGGGAAAAAGTAATTTGGCTAAAATAATAGGTGTATCTCAGTTAGTTGGTGCGTTAATGATGGCCCTCAAGGCACTCGCTCACTTCAATTTGCATTTCCATGACAATTTCCATTACAATTTCAATTAATGGAATGCCATATTTATCGCGTATATATTCTAATTTATTTTGATGTCAATTTGTGCAGTCTTTTGTTGCCCAACTAAGTAGTTTTGATAGTAATTCACTCAATTTGTAGAGCTCGGCCACTGGGGAAATCAGACTGAGCGCACGATAACTCGTTCCGTCTTAGTTGCAAAATTGGCATAGCCATGCGCATTTCGAGTCTTTGGGCTGTCCGCTTGGTAATGCTGCTGCTGTTGGTGCTCCTCTGGCTGCATAGCTGGCGGGGCACACCCCAGGCGGAGGCCATCATCAATTGCCAGGCCCTGTAAATTGTTGGAGGCGCGCACAGCAAATGCAAACAAAGCGCTAAACAATTTCAATGAGACGAGACCACGGCAAAGTTATCATAGAGCAGGATAGCGTGGCGGATGGAATGCCACAGATGTTTTTGTTTTTAAGTGGAAGCACACTCTTATTCAAACACACACACACACACACACGCTCCCGCACACACACAATCACAATCAGAAACGAAAAAATAGTCAGCAATTTGTTGACTAATTAGCAAAACTGACGCATACTCAGAGACGTACTTGACTCAGCCCCAGCCCCGCCGGAACACGCTCTTTTCAGTTAAAAAGATTGCGTTTGCTTTGCTTTTGACGCTCAGTGTAAATTCAGCGCTCGACTCGTTGAGTCGCATCTCATCAAATCTTTTAGAATCTCGCCGTAGTGCACAGACCTGAGACTTTACTTATTCGTGGCTGCTGTTTAATTAGCTGAAAGTGAAGATGAAATCTCTGAGTTTGCTTCTGCTGCTCAGCTTTGTTCTAACTGTCGTTTGGCTTGGCCAGAGCGAGGCCAACTTTTGCCCCTGCAACCTCAACGAAAAGGTTCAGCTCTGCGGCTCGAATGGCATTACCTATACGAATCGTTGTGAATTTGAATGTACACAGCGAGAATACAGGGGACTGGGTCGTCAGCTCAGCATACGGAAGATGGGACCTTGCTAAGGTGGCGCCAGCATCTACGGTTATATTTTCCTATTGAACGTATATAATATATTTAATTATAAATATTTTTCTCATTTTATATATACATATATTTTTAATGACATTTTGTTTTTTCTGTTATATTTTTTTTAACACGATTTCCATGAGATATTTACAAAATATATTKTTTAATATTATAAAATATGTCATATTCAAATGTTTTTTTTTTATTAATAATATCCAATAATAAAATATATTAATTATGATAAAGTGGTAAACATATATATATTTGTTTTTGTTTCACTGTTTCTAATTTATGTAGATATTAAAACTTTAACAAAATGAAATTAAATATAATTTTTTAATTTTTTTTAATTTTGACCGACTCAAAATTTACGGATCAAGTATTTTCTCCCCCTCCATCTACTATAAATCACTTTGCATAAATATCGATAAGAATATTTATGCAAAGTGGCAGTGGAAAAATTGATGGATGTGCTAAAACGTGGAAACAGGCTTAATTTGACTGGGTCTGATAGCCGCTTTCATTGAGCCGCGCTGAAGCGTGTCGTCGATTTATCGTTGTGTCCGTATGCAAATATTGCCATTAAATGCTAATTAAAAGCACCAACAACTACGCAACTACGTCATCAACAGGTTTGAGCTCGATGCCATTGAGTGGGAGAGTGGGAGAGGGCGGCTTCGATGCGTTGCTTAAATACTCGCCTCACGTACATCCATCAAATTGTGCATAATTAATCGAGCGACAGGTCGGTCGCCTGCAGCGGGGTGCGGGGTGCGGGGTGGGGTTTGCCATTTGCGGATTTGTGGACTGTGATTTATGAACTGCATTACGAACTACGTTTCGTTAATTGAATCACGATACGTGCGACACAAATGTCAAATTACTCAAATGCCACCGTGCAACATTCGGCGCGCAACAACAAATACAATCGGGGCACATTTATGAGGCACGAACATCGCCGAGCTGAGCAGAGCAAAACGGGACTACCGTTTGTTTTATGACAGGAAGCTGTCAGCCGCGTTAAATGAAGGGAATGTTATTAAAAAGATAATGCGCTGTCGACTCGGTTGATGACATGTGCTTTTATCTCTATGTGCTCATGGCTCATCACTGTGCAGAAAAACAAAATAAAAGTTGCCTAGGGTACACTTGGAAGCATGGAAATGCCATGCATAGAAGCGAGCCTAAAAATTACTTAATGCATCTTTTTTTTTTTTTTTTTTTTATCAGTCAGCTATATTACTTAGTTAGTCGGGCGGTAATTAGTACAATTCGCCTGAATCTAGTTTTATGGCTGCTATTTGGAACAATTAATTTTTTAGTCATCTGCTTTGAATTTTACATTTCAAATGTCATTTTCTTATTTTATTAATATTTTTATAAATATGTACATGAACTATTTGCAATGCCATAAAGATGAATGCGCTAAAGGATAAAATGCTTCAAAATTGCCTTGCTTTTATTAAATAACATGGAGAAATATAAATATATATACAAATATTTTTTTAAATTCTACGTCAAGAATAATTATTAAAAAT